ATTGATCTCACTACAAATAGTCATTTTCATTGGACCAACAATATTTTCAGAAATAACACCACAAATAACTGTTTTTTTAATTTTTTATAAACAATTAATTTCTTGTCAGATTGCTGTTTATGGGAAGAACTTCTGTGTCTCTGCCAAAAATGCTTTCAGTCTGCTCATGAGAAATATCATAAGGTTTGTGCTGCAGTCTCACTAAAATCATCCAATAAGCCCATTTCCACCATTTTGAAATCTGCTCTGAAAACCCATCTCTTCTCATTGGCATATTCATTTTATGCAATTCTCCTGTAACATCCTTTACCTGTTATACATTATGTTTCACCCACTTTGCCTATTTTTTGTGGATTTTTACATTGTATTTTACTCTAGTTGCTTCTGACTTATTTTTTTTAGTTTTATTTATGACTGTGGTTGATCTCACAGGGTGGTGGTCCTCGATAAAGTGACTGACATTCTGCTGTTCTTTGGAAAACTGCTTGTGGTCGGTGGAGTAGGTGAGGAGGTCACTTCTACTGCAAGCATGCAACAGCTTTATTTCAGGATGTCTTAAAGGCAACCCTGCAGATTGAGGGGATTTTAGTCTGATATGAACTTAGTTCAGTGTGTCATGGTACCAGTGGCTACAGAAAAGTCACCGCTCCTGCTCTTAGAGGCTTAGATATAAAGGTTTTGCTCTCTTACACGCTACATACGCTGAGGTCTGCATTTGAGAGAAAAAGTAGCTTTTAGACCTCATGCTTACACTACTTTCAAAAATAATCTGCAATAAATCATGCAGGTTTCTGTAATATCTTTCTTTTTTTCCCACCACAATGTTTCAAATGTTAGTATAAGCTACCGACAACCAAAGTAAATCTAAAAAGTAATTCTCCAAAGATTTTAAATAGATATCTATACTAACTTGGTTCTTTGTGATAATGAGGTAACCCTCTCTTAAAAACTTTATTGTGAAACAGGAAAAAGACCCATCCAAACACGTGAAGTCAAACTAATTAAATAGAATCAGTGTGACGGCATGAGTAGGCAAAAAAAAAGGTTCAAAAAATAACAACTCAAGCCCTGATTTAAAGTAATTAAATTAAATTCATTAACATAAGACCAGCTAAGCTACAAAAGCAATTTCTGAGGCTTTAGGACTCCAATGGTCACCACATGGTGAAGACATTAAGCAGTAGCAAACTTTCCTAAGAATGGCTGGCCTACTAAAGTTACTAGAGCACATTGATGACTCTTCCATGGGGCCTCAGAATTCATTTGGAGCTGAAGGGACTGGAGATCTGACAGCTGAATGTGTTTTGGTTTTTCTCCTCAGGTGTTTTGTCGTTCTTTTTCTTCTCTGGTCGGATTCAGCTCCCAGGCAACACATTTCGCTCTGAAAATCTGAACTACTACTGGATGCCTATTATTGTAAGCCACTAATCAGTCTATGTTTATTTTGTCTTCATCTTCCTTTCTAAATCTTCCACTTGTGTTTTTTTTTCTTTTTTTTTTTTGACATGTGTTATGCTGTTTCAGACCGTGGTGTTTGGCAGCTATCTCGTAGCCCATGGTTTCTTCAGCGTGTACAACATGTGTGTTGACACTCTCTTCCTCTGCTTCTGTAAGTAAACTGGTCATAATTTCATCATGGCCATCAGTTATTAACACAGACAACATTTCATCTTTCCAAAGGCATCAACAAAGAATGGAGAATAACATATCATAGCTTGCTCCACATTTAGTGGTATAGCTATGATATGTTGAAACCCTTTCTTTGTACCCACAAAACAGACTTAAATTGAAGGAAACCAGACTTTTGCTCAAGCCAAATGACTCGACACCAAAGCCATACCTGGGTTGCTCTTTAATTTGCATCTGACTTGGAATGTGCTTCGGACCTAAACAAATTCCCGTAGCGCAAGCAGAACTAACAAAGACAAATCTGAGCAAAAGTCTAGTTTCCTCCGTCTTGTAGTTGCCATGACCCAGATGACTGAGAATTTGCACAGCTCCAGTTTTTTTAATTGCTTTCCAAATGCTCTCCTAATGTATTGCACTCACTTCTTTTGCTGATCTATTAAATCAGTATCTATTAAATTTATTACTATTGTTATAATAATTTTTACCAGAATCACTTGGGCCATAACAGCAGTTGAACCAAGAGGCGTCATTCCAAAGCAAACTGGAAATGAGGATATACCAGTGAAGTGAAACCACTGGTCAGGTTCTAACAGAGTTGGCAGTTCAGGCATAGAGGGAAATGCAGAAGGAATTGGTAGAGGCCCCTCTGCAAAATGCATGTTTCGCTTTTTCTTTATGTTGCTGTATTCACCTCTAATGAGCCAACTACTCATGCTGTTTGTCTCTAAATCAGAGGTTGAGAAAACTCTCTTTGAAAACTCAGTTTCTCATATTTCAGGTGTGGAAAACATAGTAAACCTTTGTGAAAAGGGCCGCTGTGCTAAAAGATTAATTATTAATGTTTTTTACAGAAAGACCAAATACCTATATAGGTTGCTGTTTATTAAAGGTGACTAATAAAACCTGTTTTGTTTTGACTGCTGTTATCACAGTGGAAGACTTGGAGCGTAATGACGGATCCCTGCAGAAGCCATACTATATGTCCAAAAACCTCATGAAGATTCTCAACAAATCCAACAAACAGGCAAAATGACCAAAAAAACACAATTAACTGAGTTCATTTGATAGTTAGAATGTTTCCTTCTGCTGTTTTGTCCTCCCTTAATACGTTTACCAAAAGATAAATGCTTTTTGCACCGTTTAATTAGTATTTTATTATACTTGTGAAGTTCTAATATGAATAACTGTTCCAAATTGATATATTTACCTTTATCTGAAGATAATCTTTAAATTCAGCACATTTCTTTCTTTAATGACCAGCTTTAGACTTTTTACACTCACATCAGATTGTTTTTTTCAATGTAACATTTAAAATAAACTCCTATGATGGGATTTTTTTTATACAACTAAAGGAAAAGAGGATAAATGCAGGGTATTTTTAGATGCTATTTTTAAAGTTGTCATTTTATACACTGCATTTTATGCACTTCATTGATTGTAATAAGAAATGTATAATAAAATTGTATATATCAGCCAACATTTTAATAAGCCTTTTTTTTAACAATCTTTTAGTTTTACAAATTCATTTTGTTCTTTCTGATTCAGTATTTCCCCTTTATTCACTGAATGACTCCTGCATATTTTTCATATTAAAATTTCTCACTTTTCTGAGCTTGTAAGTCCTGCTTTAGGTTATTTTTAAGGTCTTATTCAAAGATAAATTTATGTATAAATTTTATAATATTTATTTATTAAGCTTTAACTTGCAAAATTAATGTACTGTGAAATAATAGGTGGATGGATAGATGCCTGCAGGGCCGGATAAATGTGCAAATGATGCACAGATGGTGCATTAAATGGATTGATGGATAGTTGGGCCAAGAGATTGAAAGGCAGAAGTGGATTGACAGAATAACTGAATAAATGGAAGAACAAAATTAAGTTTGCTTGGTAGAAAACAATTTATGTTTGGATGTTGGGATAAATGGGATTGGACCATAACAAATATGGAATTCCAGACAATGGGCCTCATGCAGCAACATTTTCATATTCTTGTCTTAAACTTCTCTTTTTCTCCTAACATGGGCTTTTACAAACTCAACACGTCAGGTTCAGCAAATGTCCTTAACTTCAGAAAATGATCGTAATTAATCCTTGTAAACGTCATGAACTCCACCTGAGCGTATTTGACGTATCTGATGTATCCCAGAAATGTAAAACACCCCTATTATTCCATATAAGGCTAAGAGTTTCCACGCCTCTGTAAATGAACACGTGGGTGTTCATTCATAGAAATGGCATCGAAGACGACAAAGAAAAACTTGGTTTCAGGGGTTCAGAAATACTAATATTTTCCTAAAGTTATGTAGTACTATTTCAGGACAGAAACTAGGGCTGAACTATTGCCAAAAATCAAAATTGCAATTATTTTTAATCAATATTGTAATCTTATTACAATTTTAATTTGCTCCAACCACAAGCTAGAACTGTAGATACTTTATCCCAGGGTTTCAGTTTTTCTGACCTCGGAAGCTTGTTTGTCCAGAGTTCATTGTTCCAGGACTGTACTGTAATCTTTGTGTAAAAAAAGTGCTTACTTCTACTCTCATGCATGGATCTGCATGTTAGCTGCAACTCTCTCTACCTTTCTGTGAGGCGGCAAACCCACCTTTAGCATATTACCACCGTATAAAGGCCTAGAATAAGAAATTTGGGGTCTTATAATATGATAATTGAACTTTATTGATCTCACATTCAAAAACATGACTGTTAGGTTACTGGAGATAGGCACCAGCACCCCTCGCAACCCCGCTTGGGATAAACAGTGGATGATCTCACATTACCTCTGCATCTAACCCATCCCATACTGGGGAGCAGTGGGCTGTCATTGTGCAGGAGTAGTGTGGGATTAAGGGTTTTTCTCAGGAACTCAGAGTGGAGGCTGTAGGGATCGAACCGGGTACTTGCAACCTTCTCAGAGCACAGGCGCACTGCTCTATCCACTAGGCCAACACTCCCATATATACTCTTGTCAAATGTAATGTGACTAAAATTTAGTGCCTCTGTGATTTGAAAATAACATTTTTAGCCCTGATAGAAAAACCCTGGTAGATGGAGCAAAATTAGCCCTCTGTTTGGACTGCTTGTCGTTGAGCCCGTTGCTGGTTTTCAGGGTTTATTTTGGCTGCTTTTGACTGAGGCAAAGTTGGAACATCTACCAGACCAATCTGTTTTTCTTCTCTGAAGAAAGCTCCATGGGCAAAGTTAGCCACTAAATATTCTATATGCTGGACATTGCTTTAATAATTTCTTTAAATGAAAAGGAAAAAAAACTAACGTTAATATGCTGCAAAACAGCAACTAAATGTAAGATAATTTCCTGTTGGGTGTTAAAGTCTTGGAAAAAACAAAATAAGTTTAATCACACAAAACAATGTTTCAAACAAGTTTAATCTCCAAGAACATTTGGTTTTGCACAACAGCCTCCATGTTTAGTCCGTTTAAAGAATTCGCATCATGAGACCTCAATCACTCGTTTTAGTGTCACATTAGCCCCTCAATACAAAGACAAATACATAAGATGACGAACCCCGGTGGACAACCTGTCCACACCACAGAGGAACTTCAGTTTCATTTCTGACCCGCAACTCGATTTATTGAAAAGCTACTGGATTAAATACAAGCTCCATATTTAACAGGTTGGTAAATTTGAGGTTATGCTCCAATTAGAGATGTGCCGGTCAAACCACTGATTTTCTTTTCCCTTAATCAGCTCTGACCTATAAACGGGTCAAAAACATAACATTTTACATACATAATGAATCCATTATAACTAAAAACCTTCAGCTATTTTCAGTTTATGTAATTTAAATCAAATTTAATTAAACTCAAAGCTGGATTTTAAGTATGCATGTAGAAATCTTGTTACATTTGGAACTGCCTCTTTAAGGGAAATCTGAACATTTTTGAAACAATAAACCTGGTCAGACCTTCAAGGGAAAAAAAAAAATCAGATTTGTCTCCTGACCGGTGCAGCTCTAGTTCATCATATGGAGACTCTAAAGTTTCTTCACACGTTTTGTGTCAGTTATTTGTCCAGTAAAAAGGAGGAAACCTCAACCCCTTCCGCCTCATTATTCACATCAACAGGGAAGATGTTTTGCTTTTAATGGAAGAAACAGGATCCAGATCACTTTTAGCTTTACAGAAGGCGTCCACATGTCAGCAATCCTCTGCTACCTCCCTGTGGCAGATCAGCCAGTCAGAAACACATAAAAACAGCATTTACAATATTCATATATACAAATATATTATGTTTACACACTAACAGGAAGAACAAAACAAGTCAGCTGTGACAAGTGTTTTATAATTGCTCTGGATACAAATAGAAACTGTAAACAGGAGGAGTCTACACCACCCATCCCACCTGTTCCTGCTCCACTAATAGCCTCCATATTTGAGGAATACATTTTTTTCCCATAAGCACTAAATTGGTCGTGTTTCCATCTACAGCTTAAAGAGAAAGGCTTCAAACGGCTCACCCTGAACATTTAATACTGTCACTGAACAGTCAACATACCCCCCCTCTGTGTGGCCCTAGACTGTGAATTACGTTGGGATAGAGTGTTGCATAAACTACATTAATACAGCAGGTGTGTGTTTGGGGTGGAGTGATCTAATTTTGTAAGGAGGAGAAAACCTGTATTTCTTGTTTTCTCTAAGCATCAGACTCTCCACACTTGCTCAGGTTACATAATGAAAAAGTGTGTGTGGGTGTGTGAGTGTCAGTGGCTCCAGTCTGTTTTTTATTTGTGTATTTGGGCTCCTCCTTCCCAGCCTTCGTCCTCACACACTCAGCAGCCAGAAGAAGAAGATGATGGCCACAAACAGGAAGAGGGAGTCCTGCCAGTTGTTGTTGCCATTGTTGAGGTTACCGTTGCCTTGGTGATCCCCTGCATACTGGTCTGAACATAGAGATTATAAGGATAGCATGTTACAACTTCTGCTAAAATGTCAACTAAAACCATCCCATATATGTAATAAGTGCCATGCAGGAGGATTAATACTTCTTGTAAATTTGGATTTTGTTAGGATTCAGTGTGACAGATCAACACAAATAGCGCAAAGTCATTTTTAAATACAACATTTAATGGGAAGACTTTAGCAAAAAGCTATAGGTGACAAATATTTGAATTTAAACAAATGTTTATGGAAGAAAAAAATGTTTAAGATAATATTTGCAAACATTTTTCTGTTAGAGGAAAATCTAAATCGAAAAAAAACAATTGAGTGTAAAGAAAATTCTTCTTTAAACTTCAAACAATATGCAAAAACAAATGTCTAAAAGGACTGTCGGATCTGCACCAGTAAAACCAGTGTGAAAGCCTTTACCTGCTCTGTGGAAGGGGTCGTTGGCATTAAAGACTGTGGTGAAAAAGCCGAAAGGGAACGCACCGATCCCAAAAGACATGTGAAAGCCTGTTTCTCCAAAACCAGGGAACATCTGGGCACAGAGAGGAAACCCATTAGTAAAGATTTTAAAGTGATAACAGATTTTAGGAAACTGATCCATTAACACAAAGGAGCCTCACCCCTCCTCTGCTCTCAGGCTCTGTTCTCTGTCCCTGAGGCCGAGGGGGAGTTTTCAACCTGAGGAGAAAAGAAAAGAGGCTCAAACAGCGTCTGAACAATGGAACCAAACACTGAGAGGCACGTCAGCATACCTGGGGTCCTCCTGGCTGGAGCTCCCTCTGCCGTAGAGCGGGATGACTTTTTCTCTACTGATGCCCGCCTTGCAGACGGGACACTGCTGCCTGGTGGGCCGCGTCTCCAACCACTTCAAATGGCAGAAAGACAAGAATGATTTAGAACAAGTAAAAAAAAAATAAATAAATAAAAAAAAATGGTTTAAAAAGGAACATTTAGAGTTCTTCTGAGCAGGAAAGATCTGCTTAGGAGGGAAATTCAAATGCAAATCCACACTCTGATATTTATCATGCAGGTAAGGTCAACCCTATATTCAAATCTAGCAGAGATCCAACCAGAAATTGACCCATTTTCAGCCTAATTATTCCTGATTTTCTCTGATAGCAATGGACCAGATCTGTTACTATCAAGGATATAATCTTAAAAACAGCAAAAATCTGATTCCTGTGGAAACTTCCCTTTGACTTAAAGCTATCATGTTTCTAACCGTTCCACACACTATAAGACCAAACTAACCTGAAATGTCTTATGTTTGGACCTTTTCCCTATACTTCACTATTAAGTAGTCCTAATTCTCCAACCGTGTGAGTGGTTAGCTATAAAACAGGCAGAAATGCAGGCACTTACTTGATGAAGGCAGGGCCAGCTGGAAAGAGAAAGAAACAGAGATTAATTCACATTCAAACAACTTTATTTTCTCTAAATCTCAGCTGCAACATCATTGCTGCAAACATTCCTGCAGAAAATTAATGTTAAGTATCAGATCAGTGTCAGTGAAGAGAGTCTATGATCCCAGCAGAGTGTTGTGCTGCAAGATCAACATATTTTCTTCACGTGAATTAATTCAATACCCAGTAAAAACCTGTGGGAGAAGGCGTCTTAAAAACCTATTTTATATATTCTATATTATCATTGGGTGGATGCGAGATGCAGCAGCTAAGAGAAATTACTCACTGGAGCCAGTTAAGGTTGAGATTTAGATAAAATGTAGAATATTCCTATAATTTTACCATATTTTGACAAAATTCCTGTCGCTTTTTGGAGGTATAATCAGCTTGGGTCACACCCAGGCCAACAGGAGCCCTCAAACATCCCCCTAGTCAGATGCATAAACAAAATTCTCACCAGCTGAATGTGCAATGAGAACATGCATACCTGACAGATTCTTCAGGCAATACGTACACTTGTTCTTGGAGCAACAAAAGCCAAATTTGGAGGGGAAAGCTTGAAAACCTGACTAAAAATAGTTAGAACTAGGTCAGGTGTATTACCCATAGCAGAATTCCCCTTCTTGTTGGTTTTCTGTAGAGCATTTGGAAAAGCAGAGCTTTCCCTCAATGGAATTTGCACACCTGGGTGAGGACACTACATCAACCTTAAGCAGAATGTTATCTAGAAATTCATAAGGAATCTGTAATTTCTGCTATCCTTAATCCCTCTGATTGGGTCGGCTTCAAAGGTGAATTACAAGGGACAGACAGTATTTATTATAATCACATTTTCTTAGACATTTGTGCCCTCATCCTGCTACTCTTTTTTTTTCCTCTCAAAAAAATAAATGAGCAAGATTCAAATATTTCATATAATCTGATTAATTAAAAGCTTAATTTGAGGTATGATTTTTCAGGTCAATATACATCAAATGTTGTGCATTGATACTCCATACAGACGGCTCTTACTTGATAAGGTCTGATTCATCACTGAGTGAATGGTGTGATCCAGAGCACCGCTTTGCGGTGTAGGTACCAGATCTGCTCGGGGCCCCACCCCTGCTGATGACACCGCAAGATGGCAACACCACTCAAACTGTATGGTATCCTTGTATTCTTAAGAATGAAATATCTGGAGATTAAACCTATTGCCTATATTTGCTATTATTGTTTTTTCTTTGGCGACCCAAGGTAGCTGAAAGTAGAAACAATCAGGGCAGCTGTGGCTATAATGTAGCTTGCCACAGTCAGCTTGTAGGTGTGTGACTGAATGACTGAATGTTTTGTAAAGTGCTTTGGTCAAGTCCTCTGACTTTATGAGACCCAAACGTCTCAGTACTTCTTTTTATTAAGATATTAGGGCAGAGGAAGACAAATGGAATATTTTTAAAAATTACTTTCGTGGAGATTTTAGACAAAGAAAAGAACAGCTACTCTAAGTAGAGTAGCTTGATACGGGTAACTGACCAAGCTAAAAGAGGCCAACCTATTAGCTACTGGCGCAGCTAGCCACAGCACTTCCCAATTACACCAGGTTTTAACAGTTACTTCTTTTCCCATTAACATCATTTTTCAGTTCTGTAATCGATCAGGTAACACTTCATCAGTCATCGGACACGCTAACATTACCAATGTTCCTGACGCGGCACACATACGCTGCGTTATGTTATTATTGTTGTCCGGGCAACAGGATGCCTTGCATCATTGTGGTAACATTCAGCTGGTTATATAGTGTGATGTCAATGGCATGCGCTGGACCAGAACAGATCTGGTCCCTACAACAGCAGTCTAAGCTCCCCTTAAACATTAACGTTGTTGTTAGATAACAAACAGAAATGACCCTTACAGGGTCAGACATATTTTCGATTTTCTAATGTAGGAAGACCAGGTAACAAACTTACTAATGAAGTTTATTGTGTCATCAGGAACTATATATAAATTTGTTAAAAATAAACTTTAAAGAATCTAAGATACAAAAAGCATCAAAAAATTATTGAGTGGTGCTCCCCCTACAGGACCTTATGAAAATAGCACTGTTGTAAACACATTCTGCACATTCTCTCAATGAATATTTGTTTATTAAAAAAATGGCGATATTGGGAAGACAGTTTCGCAAGAGATTGGCTTATTTATAATGATGATGCTAAGCTAATGAGCTGCTCAGTGTGCAGAAAATACGCAGAAGAGAACAGACACGATTAGGGCTGAAAACATTATATGGATTAATCATGATTGATTATTCAAACAGTTGTCAACTAATTTAGTGATCACTCATTAACTGGAGTATTGGGACTCTAAAACGTGTCTTTAGTTGACATAGCAACCCACGGTGAGCAGTAATTATACCAAAAGTATTAAAAAAATTGATGATGATAAAAAAAACTTTTGCGTCTGTCAATATGCGCTATCCAGAACTACTCAAGTGGAAAAAGTTTTGGTTTTACCTGGTTTGATTTAATCTTCTTTTAGGAACCTTCTGATCTATGATTATTAATCAATTAATGAAAAAAATATTTGACAGATTAATCGATTTGCAAAATTATCATTAGTTGCAGCCCTAGATGTGATTAATATGTAACTGGCTGTACATCTATGACACTGAAGAGCATCCAATAAAGGCCACATTCACTGGATTTGGAAACGACCGCTGCTACAGCCAGAGTGCACAAATGGTTATATCAACACAAAGACACATAGAATAAATTATTGTTTTGCACCAGCCATGCCAATTAAAGACAGGCTACAGTTTTATTTATGGACAATATAACACATGGAAATAGTTTGCGTTTTTTTTTTTATGCACACTTTATGAAATAAAAGTATTTTGCATTTGCACTTTTTTGAATGAAAATTAATGAAATTCAAAATTACAACTTTAATAAAACCACATAACATTTTTTTTGCATTTAACATAATGTCTTAGTGAAATATGTTCTTTACAAATATATGACAGCTAATTATTATTTTCTTTCTGGCCGGTAAAAATATCTTCCTGTCCACTTGGCAGGTGAATTTCTTTGCACATTTTTACTCTTATATAAATCAGTCAAGTGTAAGTCTGCCTCTAGAGTAAAAAAATTTTTATTTGTTCTCGTAAGGCAATTCAGCCTCTCCATGTTCTATAGTGGCACAATATAAATCCATCACCCCAATGTTACAATAACACTAGCATTAGAGGTCAGCAGATATGATACTTATACACTATATTGCCAAAAGTATTTGCTCACCTGCCTTGACTCACATATGAGCTTAAGTGACATCCCGTTCCTAATCCATAGGGTTCAATATGACGTCGGTCCACCCTTTGCAGCTAGAACAGCTTCAACTCTTCTGGGAAGGCTGTCCACAAGGTTTAGGAGTGTGTTTATGGGAATTTTTGACCATTCTTCCAGAAGCGCATTTGTGAGGTCGCACACTGATGTTGGACGAGAAGGCCTGGCTCTCAGTCTCCGCTCTAATTCATCCCAAAGGTGTTCTATCGGGTTGAGGTCAGGACTCTGTGCAGGCCAGTCAAGTTCATCCACACCAGACTCTGTCATCCATGTCTTTATGGACCTTGCTTTGTGCACTGGTGCACAGTCATGTTGGAAGAGGAAGGGGCCAGCTCCAAACTGTTCCCACAAAGTTGGGAGCATGGAATTGTCCAAAATGTCTTGGTATGCTGAAGCATTCAGAGTTCCTTTCACTGGAACTAAGGGGCCAAGCCCAGCTCCTGAAAAACAACCCCACACCATAATCCCCCCTCCACCAAACTTTACACTTGGCACAATGCAGTCAGACAAGTACCGTTCTCCTGGCAATCGCCAAACCCAGACCCGTCCATCAGATTGCCAGATGGAGAAGCGCGATTCGTCACTCCAGAGAACGCGTCTCCACTGCTCTAGAGTCCAGTGGCGGCGTGCTTTACACCACCGCATCCGACGCTTTGCATTGCACTTGGTGATGTATGGCTTGGATGCAGCTGCTCGACCATGGAAACCCATTCCATGAAGCTCTCTGCGCACTGTTCTTGAGCTAATCTGAAGGCCACATGAAGTTTGGAGGTCTGTAGTGATTGACTCTGCAGAAAGTTGGCGACCTCTTCGCACTATGCGCGTCAGCATCCGCTGACCCCGCTCCGTCAGTTTACGTGGCCTACCACTTCGTGGCTGAGTTGCTGTCGTTCCCAAACACTTCCATTTTCTTATAATACAGCTGACAGTTGACTGTGGAATATTTAGGAGCGAGGAAATTTCACGACTGGATTTGTTGCACAGGTGGCATCCTATCACAGTTCCACGCTGGAATTCACTGAGCTCCTGAGAGCGACCCATTCTTTCACAAATGTTTGTAAAAACAGTCTGCATGCCTAGGTGCTTGAATTTATACACCTGTGGCCATGGAAGTGATTGGAACACCTGATTCCAATAATTTGGATGGGTGAGCAAATACTTTTGGCAATATAGTGTAGGTCCAATTATTTGAGGTTTTCTCTAAACTCTGTCCTTAATCAATTCTCATTTTCTTTTCATTTTTTCTTCTAACAAAGGTTTTCTTTCCCGACTCTGCCATCCCTCCAAAATATGTTTTCTTCTATTTCAGCTGTGGGCAGAGGTGGATAATCTGGGTCCAGAAAGTAAAAACCCTGATTTTTTTTTTCTTTCATACTGTTCAGTTAACCAGGTGATTACCCCCTTTGTGTGATTTGTCTGTGTTGTAGAGCTAGAAATAAAAATAGCTGGAACTGATCTCTGTACTGGCGTTTTACTTTCTGGACATGAATTATTAAGCGCTAGGCGCGTGGCTATTGATGCCAAAGGTTTCATATTGGGCTGCAGTAAAGCTGTTCTTCCAACCAGAATCAGTAGTGGGAGGTGACAGGTCACTCAATCATTTCACTCAAACACAATTACCCTGATAGGGACTTAGAGGAGGATATATTAAGGTAAAAACTTAGTGCAGCTTTACTCTAAGCCAAGAATGTGTATTTTATAAGTCAATATTGGAAATCCCTTATAATAATAATGTGTTGAAGGGTTTTCTTTATTTATTAGGTCATTGTGCAGAGCTGAATGATAGCTTGATACCACAGCTGAGGGATGATGAGCTCTCCCTTCAAGTGACTTATAAAATGTCTGCAATGAATCATATTAATTCAACTTTAGACACATTTACAGCTGATATGCTGGAAGAATTAAGATAGCCTGCAGTGAATGACTGCACTGGGAAAAAAGAAATCTAGATAAGTAATTTTTTTCTTAAAATAAGTGCATGTGTTCTTGGATTGAGGAGAAAAAAAGAGACATTTTGCCAATGGAACAAGACAATTTACACTTAAAATAAGAAAGCACAATTACTTTGTCTTATTTCAAGTGCATACTATCTAATTAACTTATTTTAAGGATAAAAATAGTCATTCCGTTGGCAAATCCTCTCATTTGCCTACTCAAATTAAGGGTAAATACACTTTATTTAAGAAATTTAGATCGTTTTTCAAGTGTTTGAACATGCTGCAAAGGAAAAGGATTTGTTTTATCAATCATAATGGTTGGTATCTCACTTAAAATACACCCTGTGGTAGTCTAGCAGATCTGCTGATTAAATTATGTTTTCTGCGGCGAAGCCCTTCAAGAAAATGCATGAAATTTTAGAAGATTAACATGAATCCAGCAGCACGGTAGTTGAATTTAGCTAAAAATATATTTCCCAACATCCTTAATACTTATTTCATTTGTTTAAATTTTGAATGTTTCCATACCAGCCAGACTCTTTGGGAGTCACACTTACATTAAGTAACTTGGTTCATGTAGACGAACTGGCAGGACTTGTTTTGGGCTTTTTTTCTCCCCTCACTTTCATAAGCACAAAAACATTCAAAGCTGACGATCCACATGGCCTCAGGTTGGCTAAGAACCAAACACAGAACTCATCCAACTGTTTAGAACTGAAGAGAAAGTAAAGCACGACTCTGTGTCAAGCTCTGTGAGATCAAACAGCTGAAACACAATAAAAGAAACCTCTAATAGACATATGGGGCAATAACACAGATAAATTGGTTATTTTTACTAACCCTTTAAATTCTGCAAATTGAGAAAATAGTTTAATATTAAACAGATTCCATCTTGAACACCCAAAGTTTAGTTTTCAAAAAGAAAACATCTGCATTATTAACTGACAAGCATCTGTATGCCCAGCAGGATCATTACCAAAACAAACTCCAGTAGATCTGGGTAGATTTGTTTGTTTTTTTTTTAGAAAAGGAAACGGATTTAAAATTTGAGGAAGAAGTCAATCTTACTTTGCATCAAAAAAAGCTTTTAGAATCAGCTGCCTGAATAAGAGATTGATGACTTGAATTACTGTTCCTGTTTTCTTTTAAAGTTTGATAGAAAAATAATGAAAATTCAATGATCAGTTTTAAATTTCTACAATTTTGTGGCAACTGAACCTAATTTTTGAAGCTTTTCTTCATCTTATTTTACTTCAAGCTTTATTGATTATTTAACCTATGACAATCAGCTTAGTGTTAAATTAAATGCATTTGTTATGTACCGCGATATTTGTATTTGATTTAGAGTTTAAAAAGACAAAACTATCATTTATTGCTTCATTATTAAGCTAAACAGATAATCCAACAGTAGCTTTTCATAAATAAAATTTGCATTTAAATGTATTAGATTCAGCTAAATGCATAGATGGTGTAAATATATACACATTGGTTTGTTTTTACAGTTAAAATTGTCCCATTTTTCATAATAAAAGCACAGAGATGCTCAGGTGGGGCAAATATTCCCAATATATTTTCACTGAGGGCAAACGTGGAGAACAATAATAGAATCATCCATGTGTGTATATGAGTGTTTGAGGAGAATCCGCTTGTTGCAAAAGTACAATGAAGGAAATATTAATATGTTTTAAGCTCAAGCGTCTACATGTGTTAAAACCAAGGTGACTGACTCTAATTAAGGCTGTAGCGAAGCAATTTGCCTGCACCGATGTAACGTTAATTTGAAGTTGCAGCAGGTGAACTGACCCCTGCTCTTCTGGCTGATGACTTTCATCATCACTGTTTCATCACATCACATTACATACAGCTTCTAAGAGCAGAGGGGATTAAGGCGACATGGCAACTACATTACATCAGCAAAATAACACATCGGTGTGCTGCATCCTGCTTCGTAAACCAGCAGGAAAGAAAACTCACACTCAGGTCAAAACAACACAAATTACTGGAAATATATTAAATTCCCTGCATCCCAACCACATAATGTTATCAAGGCCACAGGCTGTGATTGGGGACTAAGAGAAAAGTGCAAGACCAAACTCCTTTTAAGAGCATTATTTATCTCCAACTGTAGAAACAAGACCTTAATCAAGTTATTGATGAAGTTTTTAATTTTTTAAAACATACATTGAAAAAAAGACCATCATACAGACCGTCCAGAAATGCATATTAATAAATGGATATTGTTTAGAGAAATGGATGAACAGGGGATTAATCAAAGGTTAGGACGAAGGTTGGGATGAAACCAAAATATAGTCAGAACAATATATGGATTGATAGATGGATAATTGTTGAATGGGTGAATGAAGAATAAGATGAATGCTTGAAGAAAATCACAGATGGATATATTCATGAATGGACAAACCAAAAGGTGGTTGAATGGACAAATAGATGGAGGATGGACAGACCGATATTTGAATGCATGCATGCAAGTTTCACACTTTGGTGTACAGAATTGTCTGAAAAGGTTATATTTTCCACATTTTTCCTTTTCAGAAACAAATAATAATAAAAAAACAAATGTGCTAAAAAATGCCTTTTGGGGAAATCATAAACCAAATCTGGCTTAAAACAGTCTGTCCTTCAAGTCAATCTTTAGGGATGGAACATTTCCTTATCTTATCAAGCTGCATTGATTAGGCTTTAATGTGACATGACAACTTTATGATTTCCATTTTTACTGCTTAGCATTTAACTTTTATTTTATTTTATTTTTTTTTTCTTCTAGCATTTAACTTTTAAAGGAGATCAGATCCGGACTTACAGCCACCCAGCCTCCATGATCAAATCACTTCAAGTCTGTGTTAATGAAATAGACACAAGAGACTAGATCCCTTTATATATAGACCCACAACCTTCTGAAGGTATTACAGTGTAGGAACATGACTTTTACCTGGGATTAGACCATTAGAGCTAACCCGAATCCTGCTTCTTGGCTATAATCTCTCTTCAGGTTTAACCTGCGCCCAGAAGCAGGCGCAACTCATGAATGAGACTAACACATAGCTGAGCATGTTTTCATTTTCCACAGATGGTTCAAAGGTTCAGCGTTGCGCAAGGTTAGACTAGTCATAGATAAGAGAAAGTACTAGAATGACAGCTGTAGGACAAGAGCTGTTTAATGTTGGAGAAAGTTTTTAATTGGTTTATTAAAAATATTGTTAATGTTGAACATGTGTTAAACACAAGGTTGTCTTAAAAACACCAAATTCGCAAGAGTATTAAAACTGATTAATGCAGGAACCTGGAGTTATGTAATCAGAAAGGTTTTACACCTTCTGAGCCACAGGGCATTTTATGTTCTGATTGACCTTCTATTTTTGCACAGTTTTGTTTTTTGGTCAAATGTTTTAAATTAAAGTTTTAGACTTTAGAAAGTAGATTTCTACTTTCTAAGGTCAACTTCACCTCAGGATTATGTTTTGACTCTAAGTTAAAGTCCTTTTTCAAGAAAATATGTTTTCTTTAATCATCCAAACATCTTCAGTTGATTTCAAAATTATATAATATACACATAAATAAAGCGAATTCTCATTTTTTCCAATTTCTATAGGGAAATTTCAGCTTGATCTGGAAAAACTAACATCTATAAAGCATGTTTTGATCTAAATCGGATCATATGATGAAACCACTTCCCTTGTGGTCACATGTTCTCTCTTCTAGGCAGCTGGCAGCGCTATAATAATGGGCTCCCACAAGTTTTCTTCATAAATAAAGAGTTTTGTTTAAAACTAGTGAGCCACATTAGCAGCGGATTAAACGGTTAATGGTTGGGCGTTAAGCAGTAACTCTGGAGGCCGTCCATGCAGCCAGACTACTCCCAAAAAAAAAACAAACACCCAGGCAGGCACAGTCAAACCACCGCCTCCTACCAGAATAAGTGGCCGCACATACTGATGACAGCGTCTCTGGCGGTATCCAAGCAAATGTTGCACTCGAAGGTGGCCCGTTCCCGCTCGCCTTCCCCGCCGCCGCTGCTGCTGCCGCCAGGTCCGTCGCGGTCGCTGCTGCTCTCTCCTGCGGGAAACCCTCCTCTGTTGGCGGTCCCGCCGTTACTCGAGAAGCGGGGATCCGTGGTCGCCATGATGTTAGCTGCCGAACAGGTAAACAGAGAGGGACAGCGAGCCAAAGCAACTTCAGCGGAGCCCGACTCGAGCTGATTTAGCTGCGAGTCAGAGGGGAGTCCTGCTAACGCCGACCATGAACCGTGTGGAGCCGCTGCTGCTAACAGTCCGCTACCTGCATCAGGGTGGCTGTTTCCGGAAGGATAGCGCGAGGGGTGCGGCTAGTGTTGCGTCATAGCGACGCTCAGACACCCTGACAGCCAATAGGAAGGGCGCGTTAGGTTAACTTCTAAAAATTAAACTCAATCAAGGATGGATGGATGGATGGATGGATAGATGATGAAAGATGGATGGATAGATGGATAGATGATGAAAGATGGATGGATAGATGATGAAAGATGGATTGATGGATGGATGGATGGATGGATGATAATGGATGGATGGATGGATGGATGGATGGATGGATGGATGGATGGATGGATGGATGGATGGATGGATGATGAAAGATGGATGGATGGATGGATGGATGGATGGATGGATGGATAGATGATGAAAGATGGATGGATGGATGGATGGATGGATAGATGATGAAAGATTGATGGATGGATGGATGGATGATAATAGATGGATGGATGGATGGATGGATGGATGGGTGAATGAATAGATGGATGGATGAATGATAGTAGATGGATGGATGGATGGGGGTGGATGGATGGATGGATGGATGGATGGATGGATAGATGATGAAAGAAGGATGGATGGATGGATGGATGGGTGAATGAATAGATGGATGGATGAATGATAGTAGATGGATGGATGGATGGGGTGGATGGATGGATGGATGGATGGATGGATGGATAATAATAGATGGATGGATGGATGGAGGAATGATAATGGATGGATGGATGGATGATAATGGATGGATGGATGGATGGATATATGATAATAGATGGATGGATGGATGAATGGATGGATAGATGATGAAAGATGGATGGATGGATGAATGGATGGATGGATGATGAAAGATGGATGGATGGATGGATGGATGAATGGATGGATGGATAGATGATGAAAGATGGATGGATGGATGGATGGATGGATGGATGGATGATAATGGATGGATGGATGGATGGGTGAATGAATAGATGGATGGATGAATGATAGTAGATGGATGGATGGATGGGGGTGGATGGATGGATGGATGGATGGATGGATGGATGGATGGATGGATAGATGATGAAAGATGGATGGATGGATGGATGGATGGATGGATGGGTGAATGAATAGATGGATGGATGAATGATAGTAGATGGATGGATGGATGGGGTGGATGGATGGATGGATGGATGGATGGATGGATGGATGGATGGATAGATGGATGGATGGATGGATGGATGGATAATAATAGATGGATGGATGGATGGAGGAATGATAATGGATGGATGGATGGATGGATGGATGATAATGGATGGATGGATGGATGGATGATAATAGTTGGATGGGTGATGGATGGATGGATGGATGGATGATAATAGATGGATGGATGGATGGATGAATGGATGGATGGATGATAATAGATGGATGGGTGGATGGATGGATGGATGGATGATAATAGATGGATGGATGGATGGATGGATGAATGGATGGATGGATGGTAATAGATGGATGGATGGATGGTAATAGATGGATGGATGGATGAATGAAAATAGATGGATGGATGGATGGATGGATGGATGGATGGATGGATGATAATAGATGGATGGATGGATGGATGGATGGATGGATGGATGGATGATAGATGGATGGATGGATGGATGGATGGATGGATGGATGGATGGATGGATGAATGGATGGATGGATGATAATAGATGGATGGGTGGATGGATGGATGGATGGATGATAATAGATGGATGGATGGATGGATGAATGGATGGATGGATGATAATAGATGGATGGGTGGATGAATGAAAATAGATGGATGGATGGATGGATGGATGGATGGATGGATGGATGGATGGATGATAATAGTTGGATGGTTGGATGGATGGATGGATGGATGGATGGATGGATGATAATAGTTGGATGGTTGGATGGATGGATGGATGGATGGATGGACTTTAGAGTTCATAAGGGATTAAAAAAGGAAAAAGTTCACCAACTTTCAAAAAGTTAGTGAACTTTATTTTTTCACAAATTTAACATATTATTGAAGGATAATTAATGTTCACCTGGTTTAACGTATTTAGGGTTAAAATTTTTATTTAAAGATACATTATAAATAAGATATTATGAAGTTATTTGATATCAGTTAATTTTGTGCAGTTTGGTCAATTTTTTTGTTTCACACAAAAAGGCCTAACATTTACAATGTTATAATTTTATTGTTTAATATAAGTCAAGCAACATGAAATGATGTAAAGTAAATGTTACTTTTGAAAAACTTTCACCTCATTAAAAGGCCCTAAAAGGCCTTTTTAAATTACTAGTTTGAATTAGATATGCTCTAATTATAATGTCATTATGGAAGTACAGTTTATCATATGTGTATTAAAGAAGAGCTCAGAAAATATTTTTCAAATAATTTTAAGTTATGTAAATCAGAGTACAAAAGGGGAGCAGTGATGAACTATAATTTAATTTTTCTGTACTTTGATCTGACTGCGTTTCTGCACGTTTTAGTAATGGAGTCAGGGAACAAAGTATTGAATCCACTGTAATGTTTAGTTCTTATACAGCAGGGGGAGTGGTGGCCTAGTGGTTAAGACACAGAGCTTGGAACCTTGATGTTCTGAGTTGCTTTTTGTATCTCTGCTTCTGTCTCCTTGAACACCAGTCTGCCTCGGCAGATGGCCGCTCACACTGATCCTGGTTCTGCTGGAGGTTTCTTCCTGTTAAAAGGAGTTTTTCTTCTCCACTGTCGCTACAAGCATGCTTAGTGTGAGGGATTGCATTCAATCAATGAGTCGATGCAATCAGCTGGTTTTCCTTAGATAGAAAACTTTGAATCAGTTTGACTGTTTGATCTGGTTGAACTGTAAAGTACCTTGAGATGACATGTGTGGTGAATTGGCGCTATAGAAATAAACTGAATTAAATTGAATCAAATTGACTGCCACTCTGGCTCTCTGAGCAAGACCCTTAACCCCACACTGCTCCCCGGGCGCCCCACGATAGAAGCCCACTGCTTTAAGGAACCTTTCGTATAAATTTAATTGCTGAGTGAACGAAACTATTAGGAGAATAATCTTTTTGTTGAATAAAATTAAATATATAGTGCAGTAAAATATACATATATATTTTGGAAACATTGGTATGAATGACTCTCAAAGAGACAGGGGTCTGTCTGTCACCTTTTTTATATGCCTGTTAATAAACTAATCATCTTATCCTATCTGTAATCATCTACAACAATTCCCTCTCCTTACCGATAGATGGCGCTAAGATTTACTGAACAACCCAAGAAGAAAGGCTGGAACTTTTGTAAGTTGAACCTTGTTTCTACTCGGACTCATACAATTACGCACCGAATGCGTGTTGTGTTCTCCAGAGCTTTCCATGCTGGTTGTATATGTGAAATAAGTCTGATCAGCATCAACTGAAGCGATTTTTCTTTTTTTTTTCTTTTTAAGTGAAGTGTGTCTCTAGCGGTTGTTGTCGAAGGGGGGGGGAGAATACAAAAACAGAACCTGTTCTGGTGCTGACTAAGGACCCAACATGAAGATCAAACGGCAGAAACAAGCGAAGAAAACAATCAGCTTCTATAAATACAATTTCAGCTTCAGAGAACCTTTTCAAATCCTTATTGACGGAACTTTCTGCCAGGCGGCGCTGAAGAACAAGATCCAGATCAAGGAACAGATGCCCAAATATCTGATGGGAGAAGTCCAGCTCTGCACTACAAAGTAAAATATTTGATCTGTATCCGGATTTTTTATCTTAATCAATCTATTTTGATGGATTTTTTATAATTATTATTTATAATTCTGTTCCTCTGTTTCATCCTTAGTTGTGCTTTGAAGGAGCTTGAGACTATCGGGAAGCAGCTCTATGGAGCTAAAATCATCCTGCAGAGGTTTCAGGTTAGGAAATGTTCACATTTTAAAAACCCAATCCCAGCCTCTGAGTGCCTGCTGTCAATGCTGGAGGAGACTAATCCACACCACTACTTTGTTGCCACACAGGTGAGCCCTAACACTATTGGGCACTCTATACATCTCTGTTTATTATATGCTTATCCAAAGTATCTAAGCCCTTGAACATGCAAACTGTTGTCACGTTTCAACAACAAACACTGGTATACATTTTTTTTCTCTACAAACCTAAATGGCAAGAATTCCATACTGTATTAAACCCCATTTACTCTGATACCTTTAAATAAAATCCTGTTCTTTCTGAAGTTGTAATACAGTTGACCTTTGGATGTTTTATCTCAATGCATATCCCTCTGTTCTATGAAGGTTTTGGAGGTTTATTAGAGAACAGTAATCAAACTGCATAGTGAAAACCAAGGAACACAACAAATGGTCCAGGGAGAAAGTAATGGAAAACTTTAAGGCAGGTTAAAGGCAAATACATATAACAGTTTGCAACACACTGGCTGCTGTTTGAAGTTGTAAATCAAAGCATAGAGTTTTGATAATTTGCCCCAGTTAAAGTCCAGACCTAAACCAATTTCAGAATCTTTGGCAGAGCCTGAAAAATGATCCTCACAGATGATTTCCTTCTGGATGAGTTGGTTATTTGGGGAAAAAAAGGGGGAATGTTTCAGTCTGTAAATGGCAAAACTGTAATTAGAAAATAAAATCCATGACCCTCTTCATGTGACCGAACAGATTTTAATTCAGCTAGAAATTAGGACTTTATTTCCCATGGGACCATTGTCCCTTATCAAAAAGATTACCTGTTTGTCCATTTCTCTGCAGGACCGTACAGTAACTGCAGGACTTAAAAAAATCCCAGGTGTTCCTTTGCTGTACATCGTTCTTAACACCATTGTGCTGGACAAGCCCAGCCAGAAGTCCCTCGACTACGTCCAGGCCGTTCAGCTGGGGGAGCTGGTGACCCCCACCCAGCAGGACAGCATCCGTAGCCTAAAGGAGAAGGAAGGCATCAGCCTCAAAGATGGAGAGAGGCGGGGTAAAAAGAGGAAGAGGAAAAGCAACAATCCAAACCCTCTGAGCTGCCTGAAGAAGAAAAAGAAAGGACAACCGACACCGCAGAAGAAAACAGAACCAGGGGAGAAGAGGAAAAGAAGTCGACACAAGAGAAGAAAAGCAGCTGCAGGGGACAACATGGCTGCTCCTGCAGTTTCAAATACTCAGTTGGACAAATAATTATGTTGTTTCCAGAACAAGTGATATTTTTAACTCTTTGCCTCCAAGGAACCAGACTTTCTTATTCCCCTTTAAAATGGTTTATATTAATATGTCATTAATTCAAGATCCCTTTAGGGCTATTTAATATCAGGAAAAAATTGCATTTACCTCATTTTGCCATGACAATTCCAATTTCAATAAACTTTAGGGTTTCCTGACTGATCTTTTTCCTTATCATGCCACCACCTCTCTAGCATCTTGGCCACTAAAAATGTGGGCACTGAGGTTCAAACTCCAGGTTAATATAAATTGTTGCCATACATTTGCATGTTTGGATTTGGACTATAATATTCTTCCAAATTTAACTTTAAAGCCATCCTTTACCATCACAGTATTGCTGCACTAGATCCATTTAAATAGTAGAATAATCTCATGTCTATAATCCACACGTACCCAGACATATTCGTGAGTTTTCTGTTCTTTCAAGGTAAATTCTTGCAGTATAAAAAGACTTACTCTCTAATTTTGTCTTATTTTTACTGAGACCATTGAAGCTTATGGATTGATGGACTAATTTGAAAGCAATAAATGGGACAGACTGGTTGACAATGAATACCTTTGCTGGATATATTTTAATTAAAAGCATCAATTACTAAATATTTTTCCAGCCAGAAAAATCGGGAAAATCTCTATTTCTCACACTTGTCATGGTGTTTTATTTTGGAAAAACAAAACAGTTACTGTACCTCAGAGCTGTCTGATTTTTAAAGTGCTTTAAGACAACACCTGCAACACTTGATTTGTCTTTGCATTTTTTTTAAATGAAATTAAAGCACAAGCTGACATTTTGAAATACACAATGTGCTCAGACATTGGAAAATAATCGGCTGCAGCGGAAGTGCACTAAGGAAAAACAGCAAATTAAGATAATTTGGCTGAACAGGGAAATATAGCACACAGTGATACATATATATATATTATATATTTTTTTTAGCAAGGCTTTTTTTTAGAATATAAATTTGCTTCCATGAATAAAATAAGCAATACTTACTCTGCATACAAACAACACTGTATATTACTACCACCAAAAAAACAAAATCAAAAACAGCAAGACAGTGCTAAATCATTTTCAGCAAAAGACAGGGAGATGAACCACAGCCTTAATATTAAAAGGAAGATGGCATGCAGTTATTCCAGACAACTTATATCTTCATAATCCATAAGAATTATATGTTACTATTCTGTAGTATTTTGAGAACAAATACTTGTGTAACAGAAATAAAATAAAAATCAAACAATCATAGATTACAGTTAAATAATAACACTGCTGCTATATAAGGCCCCTCAGAGCAAAGTTGTTTTTTCTCCTTTCAAACTGCTGTGCTGGAAGCTTAGATTATGTTGAAACGAGGTCCTGGTGTAGCAACAATGTCACTGTATGGCTCCTCTTGGACCAGCTCCACTGCTTTCTGCTTCTTCAGAACCAGGAAGCTGTAGAACTTGGCAGCCGCCTGCTTTCTATTGTTGTTCCTACACAGGTCCAACAGGCTGACTGACTGAGCACCAGTTTTGGCCATCACCCTCTGTGGAAAGAGTGAAAGCTGCTGTCACACTGTTTCTTCCTTGTAGGTTGGCATATCTCAAATGCTTCTTTCTTGGGGCTCAGCATCAAGTTCTGGTGGAAATTCAATTTCTAAGCGAGTCTGTTACTTCAAGTGTGTATAACGTGTGTGAGGAGGGAAGAAGGGTGCTAAAGTTTAAGATTTTTATACTTAAGTTATCTGATCATATTTGTTGAATCTAATGTTTTATGCACAGTCTCAAAGAGGTCAATTAATAAGTAAAGCATTCATATGAAAATGTGGTTTAGACCCCGTGCCACTTACAGCCACTCCAAGTATCGGCAAACTGAGTTAAACAAATGTTCCACGGTGCAGACAGAGCTTCTGCATGGTGTGACACGAGATGAAAATAAAATCTAATTGGTGATGTGACCTTTTTGTATATATTTTGAAGTAAAGGATTGCATGTGCTTGTCTTCCAACTGTTGCTCGCTTGGAATCAAAATATACTAGCAGAAATAATTCTGGTAGTATATTTTTTGCATCCTAACAGGTAAGCCACTTTTCTCTTATAGCAGCAATCATCCATTTTCTCGGTTTACGTAGATAATACAAACAGAATTTGGTCAATGTAAAAAGATATAGAAATATTAGGCGAAAGATTTAAAATTTTGTGTATATTAAAATCTTATGGAGAGCTACAATTATTTTGGACAAAATATGTACAAAAAGCTTAGGTTCACTGAAACTTTGTTTTTTGCAGTTTTATTTTTATCTTAAGAGATAGTTTTGAAAAATAAGCAATAAATGTTGCTGGTTGCTACAGTCACAGGCTTAGATCTATCAACTATATTCATATTATCTAAACACTTTTGATACTTTTAGCAGGAAAGTCCATCAAAACTTACATTTGTTGTCAGATTTCGACATTAAACAATGCTGTCAATGTGGTTAAGTATATCTATCTTTCTTTCAAGGTTAATGTAGATCATTAAACCAATCAGCATGTATCTCAGCCAGTGTGTTGTTTTACCTGTAGGCCATGAAGCATCTGCTGAGTTCTTTTGTTCCACCTCCTCTCCTCCTGGTCCTGCTCTCCTCCCTGTGTCTCCTCCTCCTGTCACCATGTGAACATATTTAGATTCAAGCCATGAATTACAAAAACATCTCTAAAAAACTTTTACATTATGTCAAGCTCTTTCACCTCTTCATCCGAGTCATCGTCGTTCTTCTTCTTGTCCTTATCAGCTAGTAAGTCCAGCTCTATTAGCTGGCTGATGCTGGCGGCGGTCTCTTCAGGGGGCAAATCTACTGTGGTGGCTTCGAGTTGTTGGGTAGGAGCTGCATTTGATCCCTCTTGCTGCATCTGTTGCTGCTGCTCGTCCAGGTTTCCTGCCTGGGTTTAAGGGGATGAGAGGAAATTATAAAGTTGCAGAGATGCCAAAGAAAATAAAAAATAAGAATCAGAGGAACCTACAGGTAGGACTGTATCTGAGTCCTGGGATTTGCGCTTCTGGCCTCTCTGGGAGGACGGTGGAGGCATGGCGACTTCGTCCAGCGTTGTCCTGCTCCCCTCCACGGCTGAGTTCTGCAGCGCGTTAGCTTCCTCCATGATGGTCTGATCTGGAGTTCATGTTTAACAAAAAGCAGAGAAAAATACAGACCCGTGTGCTCTGCTTTAGAATGAACATAAACTTCCTCAACTGAAACTTCATAACTGGTGTCGGATGCAGGAGTTTGACCTGCAACCGAAGCCCCAGCTCCAAATGTTGTTGTGTCCTTGGGTAAGATACTTCACCCGCATTGCCTACTGATGGTGGTCAGATGGCCCGGTGGCGCCTGTGTATGGCAGCCTGGCTAACATAGGTGCGCACCAGGGCAGCTGTGGCTAAAATCTAGGTTGCCACCATCAGCGTGAGTAAATGGGTTAATGACAAAACTTAACTTTGGTGAAGTCCACACCCAAAGCAAAGCAAAAAGGAAACTTACTTAGGTTCCAACAATGATTAGCAAACAACACAATAAGATAATATCAAATCTAATAATATCAAGCTTCTACCGATGATATCTCTTTGCTGAAGAGCTCCTGCTTCCTCTCTCGGCACGTCTGGGTTCTCCAGGTCCTTCAGGAACTCATCTAGACTGTCTGCCTCCCCACCTTTCCTCCTCTTCCTCAGCTCATCTGGGACGAGCGGCGTCAGGCATCTCGTGAACATCTAGAATAAACATGGCAGATGCTCGATATATAAAAAAAAAAAAAACACCTCAGAACGTGGAGCCTCCTTGAGGTATGCTTCCTTACCTTCAGCAGCCTGGCGTTCCAGAGAGACTGAGCAGGGAGGGAGAAGAGCTTCTCAACTCCTCCAGTCTCCTTCCACATCATCAGTTTTTTAGTGGGCGGGGCCAGATCTAAGGTTGTGACGATGTCGGAGTAGTCGGAAAGCTGTGCCCGGATAGTTTTACTGTCCAGCTCCTTCACGCTGTCTACGATCAGCTTCCTTTTACGCTTCGCCTTGGTCTCCTTCACTGTGGAGATTCAACGTGACCTCATTTGAGACCCTGCTGCATCTGCAGTAAGTTGAACAACATCTAAATATCACCTGTGATGTCGATGGGCTCCAGCGCGAAAGTCTCTTCCTCATTGTGAGCCAGAGCAGTTTGCTCCTGCTGGTCCGTCATGGCCGGGGCCGGTTCTGTCGGGCCGGAGTCCGGACTGTCTGGGGCTCCCGCTAACAACCCAGTAAGAAGAAGACAAGATAAAAACATCAGAATCATTTCGTTCTTTAAGTGATTTTCTATAAATCATTTGACTAAATTAATAAATTAATTAAGACTATATATATATATATATATATTTTTTTTTTTCTACCATTCCAAATTTGGGGTTCAAAATATTAATTTTATTTATTTTGTTTTGCACAACACTTGAAGCTAATTTTATAAATATTAAGTAGAGTTATTTTCATTTTTTATTAATCCTTAAAATGTTAAAAGGTTTTGGGGACTGTTGTCATGGTTTTGGTTATGTTATGCTTTACTTTGCTCCTTGTTTTCTAGCTTTATTGGTTTAATTCCTATTTTGTTGTAATTTCTAGATTTATGTTAGTTCTCATGTTTTTCTGTTGTCCTCTGTTGCCCTCGTGTGTGTGTGTTTCTTTCCCCTTGGCTCCCTCGTTGTCTCCTCACACCTGCTCCTTGTCAGCTCGTTAGCCCTCCCTTTGTCTCCGTCAGCTATATATGTTCTCCCTCTGCTCTCACTCTTTGTTGGTTCCTCCGTTGTTGCTGGTCCTGTCATCGCTGCAATCGTCTCCCCTCGTCTCTCCCTGGCTCCTTCTACATGTTTTCCCTTGATGTCTCCATGGTTCTGGTCTGTTACATTTTAGTTGGATTTTTGGACTGCCTTTGTTAACCATTGTTTTCATTAAAACTACAAGTATTCACCTCAGCCTCTCTGCCTCTGCATTTGGGTCCTCCAAACCTCAACCAAGACGTGACAATTGTTGCAGTTTAAATTCTGAGCTGTGCCCAAGTTTAGCTTGAAACAAAGCTGAGTATATGTAAACATCTGTCTGTTTGGTGGTGTTGATGAGTGTTGGGATTTAGGATTTTTGATTATAAAAAAACACAAATTTTTCTGATTTCTTTCCCTTAAGTTTCCAATATTTATTGTGAACGTTAGCATTTTGGCTAAACATGCCTAAAGGAAGAGATGGCCGGTGAACCAGGGCAAGGTAGATAAGGTAAATTAATAGTAAATAAACCAAAAATGTGAAGCTAATTATTTGTTAGAAAGATTGCAAAGCTCAGTATTTCAGCCCCAACTTGCTTCAGAAGCATATAGGAGATCAAGCTGCTTTTATGCTCCACAGCAGCAGTGTTACTGCATCATATGCAAATGCAGTACATGCTCTAAACAAGAGGAGGACGACACAGAGAGAGTTTTAAGCACAAAAGCAGGATGCAACAAAGTAAATTGTCAAAATTATGTCTTCTTAGTTTATCATTATTATTTATCAGAAAAACAAAAAATGGGGGTTGAATTGTTCATTAAGGCTGAAGGCATTGACTTTCCTTACACATGGGTTCTTATTGTGACCATATTTAGAATGAAAACAGTTCAGATGAAATTGTTAACAGCTTCAAAACAAGATGGCATCCATGTCCAGAATAAAGTAAATAAAAACTTCTGATTCGAATCAAACTGTATGTCAAGTTCTTCATGTTATAAAACAAAAACTAACCTGACAGAGCATCGAAGTCATCCTCATCCTCCCCGTGGTCCTGAGGCATCATCATGCTGTCTGTGATGGTGGGGGGGTCGTCAAATATGCCACCTCCATCCTCATTACCTAACAGCTTGGCAACTGTATCCAAGAAAGCATAAATAATATTGATAATGCTTTTTTTTTTTATAAATACCTTAATTTGCTAAAAGTCCACAATCGTAATACCAAGCATGCCCCCTCCATGGCTCTCCATAGGATTATCACCAAAGTCGTCCTTGTACTGCTCATCATACTCCAGGTGGTTGGACTTGTCCGCCATTTGATTAGCTCCGCCCTCAGCCTCCAACAGGAGGTTGGAAGCTGAAGAACTCATGATGTCCACCTCAAACGCACTCTCCTCTCGCATCATCTCACGGTCATCCATGCCAAAATTAGCTGCAGGACAAAAATCAGATGGCATCACCCCTACCCATCATCAGGAGCTTCTCTGCGACTCAGAAAGCCTTAAAGACATTTAGCAACAAACAAACCAAAACTGTTTACCGAAATCGGTGTCTGGCAGCAGGGGGAGGTTGCCCACTTCCTCTCTCATGGTGATTTCTTCCACTCGGCTCTGATTCAAGTTGAACTGGTGAGCCACGTCGATGTCACTGTTGAATACAAATCCCACCACCAACTTTTAAAACAAACAACTAAAAACACTCTTAGAAGTTTAACGCTGTGCTTGTGGATTACATTGTCTTCTTCTAATCAGGTTCTAAAGGGTTTAAAGATCTGATCTAAAAAACAGAGAGCAACATGTTGTTCTGCAGACTTTATAGATACAAACAATTGTATGAAGAAATCAGCAGATTAGGAAATCCGGAATTTACACAAAAACACAGGTTTTTATAAAAGTAATGTCTCACTTAATCAGACTCAAATTCTAAGATTTTAAATTACTTTTAAACTTGTCTATATAGTCTGAATAACGGATCTCTATATGGCTTTATGTAGTAGTTTCATGCAGTTTTGAAGCTTTTTTTTCTTCAAAATGTATCTAGACCTGGAACACTTGTCCAGATTTTTCCAAACTGTAAGGACCCTGCTGATCTCATCTGTCTCCTGTCTCAAACCAGCCAATGTTTCAATAAAATGCAAAGGATATAATGAAACCTAGAATAATATAGAATCAGCAGCAATCTCATAATAGATCTCCCACATCTAGATACTCAAAGGACTCACTCTAGGTCAGGTAGCGGTTGGTCAAAATCGTGAAACTCCTCGGGTAGCGTGATGGCGTTGTAGGCAGCTTCCCTGTTCTCTTCTGGGAGATCTACCACTCCTACAAAAATGTAAAGAATAGATGAGCTTTGAAATGTTTACAATAACTGATGATCTCTCATTCATGCCCAGCTCCAAACCTGGACGGAACGCCATCTTAATCTTGATGAAGGCTTCGTTACAGTCAGCCAGCAGGTACTTAGCCTTCCTGTGATAGATCCTCACCACCCCCAGCAGTAGGTGTCCCGATGTTCGTAAAGCCATTTTCACCTAAAGATAAAAATAATAAATACAAAAATCTGAAACATTACCTGCTAAAAATGACTTTACTTCTTTAAATAATACCGGTTCTACCACCAGGGGGCAGCATGTGTTATGGACATCACTGGGGAGGAATTTTGCTCCACTTTTCTTTTCACATTTGAATTAAGCCAAACGTTTTTTTTTTTAGCAAGACCAGCTTGATTAAGGTCAAACTAAAGCATCTCAGTTATATTTTTATAAAATCTGATGCCAGTGAAATCAGGTCTTTTCTATGATGTTCAGAAAGTGTTTAGTACCGGTAAATGTTGACAGGCATGTTGATTCATTGTTAATGACACATTCAGTAAATTTTTATTTATTATGAGATTTTTCAGTTTGGTTTTATTTGAATCGCTTGTGTGAATTCTAAATTGATTTTATTGGGAGGGTATGTACATTTTCATGCACAACTGTAATTAATTATGTAATTATGCAGGTAATTAGGATGAAAAATGACCTTTGGTGAGATGATGCTCTCCACGCTGCTCTCCAGGTTACACTCAAACACATGAGCCTTGGTCAGCTTCTTGTCCCAGTGGGCCGCCAGCCAGATTTTGGCCAGCGGCCCACGTTTGCTGAGGACAAAGTGGGCGTAAAACATCTTCCCTTCGCCTTCTCAGCACAGGGGAAAAGGAGAAGGGGGGGAGGCGTTGGGCCTGTTAATAAAATACACAGAAAAAACAAAACAAAGCATGTACAATCAATAAAATAGACTGCTAATCCCTCCCAAGTCAAAAACCTGTATTTTCGAACAAATCTGGGTGTAGTGATGGACTCAGACCTGAACCTTCAGAGGCTCATATAGCCTTCTATCATCTAGAGAACATTCACAGGATTCAAGGACGGCTGCCCTCTATGGAGGACCAGAAGAGTCACTGAAAAAGATAAACAAACATTTTAAAAAATTTTAACAATACAATTAGAATTAATACTTGCTTCTCTTCTAATTTCACATTTTAAATTTTATTGTATTTATTAATCCATTATTAAATATAGTAATAAAAAAAAATAGTCAAATCCTTGCAGATTTAAAATCCATAATTCAAAGATACCTTTCTTTATCAAACATTTAAAAAAGGTAATTCCTTTATTAATTTATTTTTCTTTTCACCTTGCATTTTTTAAATCCTTGCAAATGCACTTTTTTGTTTACCGTCCCCATTTAGCATTTCGGTTTAGCCTTCTGGTCCCTGAGCACGCTGGAAATCAAGTTAAACTAATCCCAGCTCCTCTCCGGATGTAAGCAGCTGATTCATAACATGGCGGCTACCATAGGTGGTACTTTGCACATGGCTAAACTGCTCTGTACTTGTTTCGAATGGTCGTCACACTTTATCTTAGGGGTGTTTAGTTAGTAAACAAATCGTAGATTAGGTTCATAGATGGAGAATGAAATGGCAAGCAACATTTGATAATTTAATCACTTTGGCTAACTACATCAACAGTGCAGACTCTGATGGTGTAAATCCAGTTTATCATTTATAATACTTTGCCTTGCAAAAGTATTCGGCTGCCTTGAACTTTTCGACCTTTCACCATACATAAAGAAATAAATGATAAAATTGTATTTTTTTTGTGAAGAATTAACAACAAGTGGGACACAATCATGAAGTGGAGTGGAGAACCAGGAGATCCAGAACTTCTATGAATGATCAAATGTTGGTTTAAAGACTGATGATGATAAATACAATCCACCTGTGTGTAATCAAGTCTCCGTATAAATGCATCTGCTCTGTGATCATCTCAAAGTTGTGTGACTAACTGGATGTGCTCTCTTCGTCCTCTGACATGGGATCTGGCTCAGAGCTTGTCTACCTGGCTGTGTGTTTCCTGGACGGGGCCACCTTTTAAAGCTGCTTTTTGTATCTCTGCTTCTTTCTCCTTGAACCCCAGTTTGCCTCTGCAGATGGCCGCTCACACTGAGCCTGGTTCTGCTGGAGGTTTCTTCCTGTTAAAAGGGAGTTTTTCCTCTCCACTGTCGCTACAAGTATGCTTAGTGTGAGGGATTGCATTCGAGTGAATGAGTTGATGCAACCAACTGGTTTTCCTTAGGTAGACAACTTTGAATCAATGTGACTGTAGTGCCTTGAGATGACATGTGTTGTGAATTGGCGCCATATGAATAAACTGAACTGAAACTGAATTTCAGCACATATCATCATTAGAATTCATTATCTTTGTATTATTTCTTTAGTACAGCGGCTATAACAGGGTCCAGAAGCTGTTCTACAAGGGACTGGCCCCTGTTTGCCCCTGTCTAGAACCGCCCATGTATGCACATATTGGTTATTACAATAAACAACTTATAATAACAGCCCAAAATATTAGCCAGTCAATGTATGGGTCAACCTTTAGTTTCCCACATCCTCTGTAGTCCATGTCTTTATTATCTGCATGTGATGTACAGGCCATTTATCATAAACTGCCCGTTCAAGGTAGAAACATTTGCTACATTTAGGTTGTGGTTAAAAGCTTAGAATGTAATTCCAAGGGCCAAACCTGGCCCTGACACTTTGCAGGTCCCTGTCATAAACAAAATGCTTCTATTAAAAGCAGCAGGCTGTGCTGCCTCTTTAACCCAAATGGTCCAGAGGGGGTTTTCTCCACAAAAACAAAATGCTCAACCTTTGGTTCATTAAATTAAAAGAACTTATTTCATTCGGAATTATATTTTATAATAGAAAGACTACCTCAGATGGAAGAGTTGTGTTATTATTTATTCAAACAGCTTGCCATACTTTGTCAGGTGTGTGATGCACCTGCAGCAGTATGATGTAATCCCTGTGCCTGTTGTTTATCTCTGCAGACTGTAAGGAATCAGTAACGCTACAAACGTGGAGATTAAACAAGTCAATAAGCAGCTTTCCAGATGTTTACATAGCATTTTGTTTATTATTATTATTGTTACGACTGTTTAATATAATTCGCGATAACCGTTGATGCTGCATCCCAACAGGTGATGATGCAGAGACTAAATTCCCTAAGATAGCGCCTTTAATCCACACAGATATATTTCATCAGCAGTTTCTGACGCGCATATGCAACATTAATGACTCACTTCCAACGGTTGGTATGTCTTTCTGTGTTGGTGTGGCGCCGGCCGGTCCCTGCTGCGGCTCTCCTTCCTCTCCTCGAGGAGGTAAACTTACAAGATGGCGTCCCTTCTCCCTGTGCAGGGTGGACGGGTTTGAACCCTCCTCGGCTTGCGGAGGGCTGCTGATGTGAGGATGGAGGCAGGCAGGGATGCTGAGCTGCTCATCTTTCTATTTTGCTTCATTTTGTGGCTGTGTATGGAAGCCCGTGTCCGCCATATGACAGCTAAAAAAATGCCAAATAGAAAGTCATAACAACCAGATTCAAAGTCCTAATTTCGAGTTTCAAAGTCAGAATTTTGAGATACAAAGTCATAATTTCGACTTTCAAAATTTTTATCTTATAATTATGACTTTAAAAGTCGAAATTATGACAGTGTAATTCATAATTATGATTTCTATTTGGCATTTTTTTCTTTCATGTTGCAGAAATGGGCTTCCATACGATTATATGTAAAGTGATTTTTTATTTTTTTTACCTTCTCGCTTTTTTCTTCCTTACTTTTTTTATTTACTGATTTAACTTTTTTTTTTTTTTTTTTACATTTAGCTTTATTACACAGTAAATTTATATGGCGGAGGTGGTGGAGACAAGTATGGAAGCCCGTGTCAGCCATATAACAGTTAAAAAATGCCAAATAGAGAGTCATAATAACCAGATTCAAAGTCATAATTTCGAGTGTCAAAGTCAGAATTTTGAGATACAAAGTCAGAATTTCGACTTTACAAATTTAAGACTTTGAGATTCATAATTATGTTTTTCTATTTGGCATTTTTTTTCTTTCATGCGGCAGAAACAGGCTTCTATACAAATATACAGTGCAGTGATTTTTTTTTTTACCCTCTCGCTTTTTACTTTCTTACTTTTTTATTTACTAATTTATCTTTTTTTACGATTTTGCTTTATTTCACAGTAAATTTCATATGGCGGAGGTGGAGGAGACTAAGTATGGGAGCCCGTGTCCGCCATACGAAAGTTAAAAAATGCCAAATAGAAAGTCATAATAACGAGATTCAAAGTCATGATTTCGACTTTCAAAATTTATATCTCATAATTATTACTTTAAAAGTTGAAATTATGTCTTTGCAATTCGTAATTATTACTTTAAAACTCGAAATTATGACTTTGTAATTCATAATTATGAGTTTGAATTTCATAATTATTACTTTCTAGTAGGCTTTTTTTCATGTGGCAGAAACGGGCTTCCGTACAAAAAATATATACAATGCATTGTTTTGTTTTTTTATTACCCTCTCGCTTTTTTCTTTCTTACTTTTTTTATTTACTGCTATATCTCTTTTTTTCCATTGAGCTTTATTACACAGTAAATTTAATATGGCGGAGGTGGTGGAGACTATGTATGGAAGCCTGTGTCCGCCATTTAAAAGTAAAAAAATGCCAAATAGAAAGTCTAATATAACGAGATTCAAAGACATAGTTTCGAGTTTCAAAGTCAAAATTTTGAGAAACAAAGTCTTAATTTCGACTTTCAAAATTTGTATCTCATAATTATGACTGTAAAAGTCGAAATTATGACTTTGTAATTCATAATTATGACTTTGAAATTCAGACTTATGACTTTGTATTTGGCATGTTTTTCTATTATGTGCCAGAAACGGGCTTCCATACAAAAAATATACAGTGCAATGATTTTCTTTTTTTACCTTCTAGCTTTGTTTTTTTTACTTTTTTATTTCCTGAGTTATCTTTTTTTTTTTTTTTTCACCATTTAGCTTTATTACACAGTACATTTTGTTGTGTTAAAGTAATACTTTCAGAATGCATTTGGTCCCACTCGGAATTAGTGTTAAATTAGAACGTAGTGGATATCTTACTCCAGCTGTTGTTGTAATAGCTCTTCAAGAGTGTATGTACTTTGACACTACATATTTAACACTCTAGAATTTACAGTGTTTGCAAGATAGTGCAGCATAACAAGGAATATGACTTTGGTTCCACATTGCTATCATTAGATACATATTGTCACGGTCTTGGTTCTGTTACTTTTTACTTTGCTCCATGTTTTCTACTTTTATTGGTTTAATTCCCATTTTGTTGTATTTTCTGGATATATTTGAGTTCTTAGGTTTTTATTTGTTGTCCTCTGTTACCCTCTTGTGTTGGTGTCCTTTTCACTATCTCCTTGCTAGACTGCTCTCTTCACACCTGCTGCCAATATGCTCGTTAGTCCTCTCTTTGTTCAGTCTACCATAAATACTCTCCTTGAGCAGTTCCTCAGTGCTGGTTCCTCGTCTCTTCTCGCCTTTCCCTGACTCCACGTGCTTTTTTCCCCTGATGTCTCCATGGCTCTGGTTTGTGTTACATTTTAAGTTGGGTTTTTGGATTAGTGCCTCAGTTGTTTGTGATTACTCAATTAAATCTTCAGGAAACTCACCTCTCCTCTGACTCCCTGCCTCTGCATTTGGGTCCTCAAAAACCACAACCAAATCCTGACAGATATGATTTACATATACAAAGCAAAATCAAATGTGATTTCCAGCGTATTCTGAAAGGTTGAGTTAAATTCAGGCAACTGTTAAGAGTTGATTTTAAATTTAAC